TGTCATGGTTTGTGTTAATGCCTGTCATGGTTTGTACTAGTGCCTGTCATGGTTTGTGTTAGTGCCTGTCATGGTTTGTACTAGTGCCTGTCATGGTTTGTGTTAGTGCCTGTCATGGTTTGTGTTAGTGCCTGTCATGGTTTGTGTTAATGCCTGTCATGGTTTGTACTAGTGCCTGTCATGGTTTGTACTAGTGCCTGTCATGGTTTGTGTTAGTGCCTGTCATGGTTTGTGTTAGTGCCTGTCATGGTTTGTGTTAGTGCCTGTCATGGTTTGTGTTAGTGCCTGTCATGGTTTGTGTTAGTGCCTGTCATGGTTTGTGTTAGTGCCTGTCATGGTTTGTACTAGTGCCTGTCATGGTTTGTGTTAGTGCCTGTCATGGTTTGTGTTAGTGCCTGTCATGGTTTGTGTTAGTGCCTGTCATGGTTTGTGTTAGTGCCTGTCATGGTTTGTGTTAGTGCCTGTCATGGTTTGTGTTAGTGCCTGTCATGGTTTGTGTTAGTGCCTGTCATGGTTTGTACTAGTGCCTGTCATGGTTTGTGTTAGTGCCTGTCATGGTTTGTGTTAGTGCCTGTCATGGTTTGTGTTAGTTCCTGTCATGGTTTGTGTTAGTGCCTGTCATGGTTTGTGTTAGTGCCTGTCATGGTTTGTACTAGTGCCTGTCATGGTTTGTGTTAGTGCCTGTCATGGTTTGTGTTAGTGCCTGTCATGGTTTGTGTTAGTGCCTGTCATGGTTTGTACTAGTGCCTGTCATTATTTGTGTTAGTGCCTGTCATGGTTTGTACTAGTGCCTGTCATGGTTTGTGTTAGTGCCTGTCATGGTTTGTGTTAGTGCCTGTCATGGTTTGTACTAGTGCCTGTCATGGTTTGTGTTACTGCCTGTCATGGTTTGTACTAGTGCCTGTCATGGTTTGTGTTAGTGCCTGTCATGGTTTGTGTTAGTGCCTGTCATGGTTTGTGTTAGCGCCTGTCATGGTTTGTGTTAGCGCCTGTCATGGTTTGTGTTAGCGCCTGTCATGGTTTGTGTTAGTGCCTGTCATGGTTTGTGTTAGTGCCTGTCATGGTTTGTACTAGTGCCTGTCATGGTTTGTGTTAATGCCTGTCATGGTTTGTACTAGTGCCTGTCATTGTTTGTACTAGTGCCTGTCATGGTTTGTGTTAGTGCCTGTCATGGTTTGTGTTAGTGCCTGTCATGGTTTGTACTAGTGCCTGTCATGGTTTGTACTAGTGCCTGTCATGGTTTGTGTTAGTGCCTGTCATGGTTTGTGTTAATGCCTGTCATGGTTTTTGCTAGTGCCTGTCATGGTTTGTGCTAGTGCCTGTCATGGTTTGTGCTAGTGCCTGTCATGGTTTGTGTTAGTGCCTGTCATGGTTTGTGCTAATGCCTGTCATGGTTTGTGCTAGTGCCTGTCATGGTTTGTGTTAGTGCCTGTCATGGTTTGTACTAGTGCCTGTCATGGTTTGTGCTAGTGCCTGTCATGGTTTTTGCTAGTGCCTGTCATGGTTTGTACTAGTGCCTGTCATGGTTTGTGCTAGTGCCTGTCATGGTTTGTACTAGTGCCTGTCATGGTTTGTGTTAATGCCTGTCATGGTTTGTACTAGTGCCTGTCATGGTTTGTGTTAGTGACTGTCATGGTTTGTACTAGTGCCTGTCATGGTTTGTGCTAGTGCCTGTCATTGTTTGTACTAGTGCCTGTCATGGTTTGTGCTAGTGCCTGTCATGGTTTGTGCTAGTGCCTGTCATGGTTTGTACTAGTGCCTGTCATGGTTTGTGCTAGTGCCTGTCATGGTTTGTACTAGTGCCTGTCATGGTTTGTGTTAATGCCTGTCATGGTTTGTACTAGTGCCTGTCATGGTTTGTGTTAGTGACTGTCATGGTTTGTACTAGTGCCTGTCATGGTTTGTGTTAATGCCTGTCATGGTTTGTACTATTGCCTGTCATGGTTTGTACTAGTGCCTGTCATGGTTTGTGTTAATGCCTGTCATGGTTTGTACTAGTGCCTGTCATGGTTTGTGTTAATGCCTGTCATGGTTTGTACTAGTGCCTGTCATGGTTTGTGTTAGTGCCTGTCATGGTTTGTACTAGTGCCTGTCATGGTTTGTGTTAATGCCTGTCATGGTTTGTACTAGTGCCTGTCATGGTTTGTGTTAGTGCCTGTCATGGTTTGTACTAGTGCCTGTCATGGTTTGTGTTAGTGCCTGTCATGGTTTGTGTTAGTGCCTGTCATGGTTTGTGTTAATGCCTGTCATGGTTTGTACTAGTGCCTGTCATGGTTTGTACTAGTGCCTGTCATGGTTTGTGTTAGTGCCTGTCATGGTTTGTGTTAGTGCCTGTCATGGTTTGTGTTAGTGCCTGTCATGGTTTGTGTTAGTGCCTGTCATGGTTTGTGTTAGTGCCTGTCATGGTTTGTGTTAGTGCGTGTCATGGTTTGTACTAGTGCCTGTCATGGTTTGTGTTAGTGCCTGTCATGGTTTGTGTTAGTGCCTGTCATGGTTTGTGTTAGTGCCTGTCATGGTTTGTGTTAGTGCCTGTCATGGTTTGTGTTAGTGCCTGTCATGGTTTGTGTTAGTGCCTGTCATGGTTTGTGTTAGTGCCTGTCATGGTTTGTACTAGTGCCTGTCATGGTTTGTGTTAGTGCCTGTCATGGTTTGTGTTAGTGCCTGTCATGGTTTGTGTTAGTTCCTGTCATGGTTTGTGTTAGTGCCTGTCATGGTTTGTGTTAGTGCCTGTCATGGTTTGTACTAGTGCCTGTCATGGTTTGTGTTAGTGCCTGTCATGGTTTGTGTTAGTGCCTGTCATGGTTTGTGTTAGTGCCTGTCATGGTTTGTACTAGTGCCTGTCATTATTTGTGTTAGTGCCTGTCATGGTTTGTACTAGTGCCTGTCATGGTTTGTGTTAGTGCCTGTCATGGTTTGTGTTAGTGCCTGTCATGTTTGTACTAGTGCCTGTCATGGTTTGTGTTACTGCCTGTCATGGTTTGTACTAGTGCCTGTCATGGTTTGTGTTAGTGCCTGTCATGGTTTGTGTTAGTGCCTGTCATGGTTTGTGTTAGCGCCTGTCATGGTTTGTGTTAGCGCCTGTCATGGTTTGTGTTAGCGCCTGTCATGGTTTGTGTTAGTGCCTGTCATGGTTTGTGTTAGTGCCTGTCATGGTTTGTACTAGTGCCTGTCATGGTTTGTGTTAATGCCTGTCATGGTTTGTACTAGTGCCTGTCATTGTTTGTACTAGTGCC